TTAATCGAAGATTAAAACGCGAAATTATACGAATCTCGAACTAAAATACCCGTATCGGCCCGTTCTAAGGAACCCCGAGTCAATCCAAGCACGCCGCCTCAAATTGCCTATCCTCTTTGTGGTGGCCATATTTACAGAAACATAATTAAACTTCATGTTTAGGCTGATGCCTTTGTCAAAGCCTTAATAAATTTAAAATAAAATAATTATGTAGTGTGTAGTCTATGATTCGTAGTTCACTAAGTAGTCTGTGCGGATTTGCTCTGGACCTTTTGGAGGAAAAAGTGTCGTTTTTATTTTGACTTTCAATTATTTTGTGAAATCTAGTTTAAAGTGGAATAGGATAGTGCTATTGTAACTTAATCGAAGATTAAAACGCGAAATTATACGAATCTCGAACTTAAATACCCGTATCGGCCCGTTTTAAGGAATCCCGAGTCAATCCAAGCACGCCGCCTCAAATTGCCTATCCTCTTTGTGGCGGCCATATTTACAGAAACATAATTAAACTTCGTGTTTAGGCTGAAGGCCTTGCCAAAGCCTTAAATAATTAAAAAGAAAAAAAGTAGTCTGTGCTATTATATTCAAGTTTTTCCTTAGAGGATGGTTGCCCACAAATTATGAAGAGAAATACTATTTTACGTGCTTTGTCATAGTAATTGAGTCCTTTGATGTTGTGTATTGCACAGAGTACTTTGCCTAATGGTTAGGAATGAAGTGAGGAATTTACATAAACAACATGTCTATAACATACATACCTCGTGTAACGCAGGTAAACTAATAAAACTTTAAATCAGAACAAATTAATTATCACATCACTGATAACATTTGTCTAAAAATATTAAAATATATTGTTACAGTTAGATGCAGTACAATTAGACAAACAACTAGAGGAACTGTTTAAACAGATGGTTTTTAATGCTACGAAATTTTTTGAGGTAAGTGTTACCGAAAAATATCACAAAAACATCTTAAATACAAGGTGTGCAATTTCATATTTTTCAGTAATTCTCACAAAGTTCTTGATCTGCAAGGTTATAATTTTTGCTCAATGTATAATTTCCTAGATCATAACTTTCACCAACTAGTGTAAATTATTACTTTTCTGTAGCATATTCATATTGTGTACAATGCAAAACATTAATTAACATATTGTATTCCAGCCTGGTATTCTTCAGCCAGTTTTACCTGAACTAGAATTACTAATCAGGACATGGATTTTCAAGTATTCAGTTTATAACAACAAGTACACATTTGGACAACAGATGCTTTCACTCAAATACAAGGCAGATAATTTTTCAAGGAGCAAGTTATACTGGTATTATGGATATACAGTTGGCTTGAGATATTTGAAAGATAGAGCTGTATACAGTTTCACATCAAATAGAAAGATACAAGATTTTATACACAAACTGGAAACATTTCAGTTAATAGGAGATATATTCAACTTTCTGAGGTTTATTCAATGTGGGAAGTATCCCTTATTAATTGATTTTGTACTTGGTTTGGAATTGTCAGCTGAAAAAGTCACAAGGGAGGATTTGTCTGATTTCTCTTGGACTAGAGAACTTTTGTGGCACAATTTTATTGTAAGTATACAATTTTGTGACATACTTGTTTTTTGCTTTATTATTGTTATTAAGCCTTTTCAGCTGTATAGAATAATAATTTATTAATTGTATATACAAAAACAAACCATTACATGATATAGCTTGCAACTAAACAGGTTTTGTACAACAGTGTCTAAGGTGCAGGCGATACTTCCACACTTTTACATTATAATAAATCTTATAACTTAGTATTCCTCTTGGCATAGGCCTCTTCCAGATCTTTCAAGTATGCTCTATCAAGAGTTACTTTTCTCCAACAGGAACCTGCAGTGACTTTTACTAGAAATGTGTACGCAATAATGACAGCATGTATAATATTTCAATTACAGGAATTAATAGGCACAGCAATTTCACTAATAAACATATTTGGACTACGAAGAAAGTTGTTAAATGTTCTCAAATATGTATCATGGAGCAATCAAACAAGGGCCAGAGTTGCTTCAAGTAATGCTATAATGACTATACACACAGAATGTGCTTTCTGTTCAAGCAGCCCAGTTCTGCCTTATACTATGGGATGTTCGCATATATTTTGCTATTATTGTTTGATGGTAAGATTAAAGATTACACTTGCAATTTTAGGTTGTTCTCAAACACAACTAACATTTATAAAGATAAGAAAGACTACTAACTAAAAGTTTGATTCTTCTTCCTCTTATCGATGGCATGTTTGCCATCATGATGAACGGTTTGCAAATCGGCGTAAGGTTCTCGCTGATTGTTGCCCAGGATGCGCCAGGCGCCTAGGAAAGGAATATGTTGTTCGGGGAGGCTTCTTTTGTGCACCACAATTAAATGGTTCAATTTTTGTCCCCACTTTGAATGGGTATGTTGCTTATTATATTGGGCAAGGCACCTGCCAGTTGTTCTTAATTTATTATTAGTAGTTTAAAATTGGGCTGTATATAATGATGGGTTAAAATTTTCAAACTCAGTTTCAGTACTGAAAAAGTGTAATTTGGACAAGGTCCTTAGTAATGATTGAATACATTCTGATAGTTTTAAGAGAAATAATGTCATAATTTTGATCATGTAAGTTTTAGTGCAAATTGAAAGATAAAAGTGTTTTTTTTTTACAGGCAAACAAGACAGCAGATCCAGAGTTTGCTTGTCCGAAATGTTATTACAAGGGAGGTGAAATAAATAAATATATTGTGGCATAACTTTGTTAACAAATCGTTACCTATTTGTTACAAGTTTAATGTAGAATATTTTGTGTAGGTGACCATACCTAAAACTTGGACCAATAACACAAGAGGAATGCTAATCGCGGTACAAGACAGGGTATTCGGGTATTTAGTACCTATTGGTAAACCAGATATCGCGAAGAGTATCAAATATCTATTTTTGTACCTAATTTGACAAGCTGCTATTTATGAAAGCTACTCTAATTTCAAGTGATAACAAACAAATTAATTAGATTGCACAGATTTTTATGTGTAAGGACGTGTTAAGTTTTCTGCAATGGTTCTCGACCAAATTTATCTTCATATTTTCTTAAATCTTTATAGTGAAGTTGAAATGATCCATTGTCGATTTGGTTCGTAAAAAGGAAAGTATCCAATATATTGGGTGTCATTTTATTTGAGTAAACTAAAACCAAATAGACAGCAAACTGCAGCATCCTGAATGAGTTCTGTATTATTAATCTTTCTTGTCAAAAAAGTATCTCAGCTACATGTAATACTTAACGTGGTAACTTAAAGTGGCGCGGGGCCGCTAGACCGCTGCCCCCGCGCAGTTTAAACCGCGCGTTGACGCTAATCTGCGTCTCCGCCACCGCGCGGTTTATTCCGCGTCCCTCACACCGTCGCGTGGCGCGGTGCAGTGTGTTAATCGCCTTATTTTGTCTAGGCTTAGCTCCATGTACCCATATTAGGAAGCGTTGTAAATAAGTTTGTAACACTCAATGCCACTATTGACACGCATATTTGTCAAAGTTCAGAAAATAATTTTAGCTCAAGATTAATATTTAAATAATATTACAAGGAAAAAAAAAACTGAGTTATATTGCGTATTAAAGAGAAATTTATAGGCCATTTTATAATATAAACTACTGTACTGGCTGTTGATCAGCCTAATCTAGATATGAGATGGAATTTCGACCTTTTTCAGAGTTACGATCGAGTAGTATGGAGATTAGCAGCCCTCTCGAGTTGTTTGGTCTTATTTACATAGTGTAGGTATTTGGAGTTTGGCAGTGGCCATACCTACTTAAATATTTATAGGTGTTTTGGGCAATTTAAGACAGGTGCTGTGATAGACTAAGATAACATGTTTTTCCATATTATTAAATATATTTTATTACCCAATTTGCGTCTTAATTTCTGTTTAACGAGAGCATATTATAGTCATGAATATATTTAGAGGATTGCTCAAAAAAACGCCATATAAACATTGACTTACAAATAAATTGTAAGTCAATGCATTTAAACAATATGAATGTATAATTGAAACTGACAGACGATAAGTCATTAAGGGTCGTATTCTAGAACTCTATTCAATGTTCAAGTCAGGATTGCACTGGCAACACAAGCACTGGAAACACGACCCTAATGGCAGGGACTTGAGTATGATTTCGAGTGCTTTAAACCATACTCAAATCCTGACTTGAGCATTGAGTAGAGTTCTAGAATACGACCCTTATTCTTTTTTCAAATGAAACGTGTGTAAATAATTTAGATTTCTGAGGTGTAGGTACATATATGTAGCCAGTGGTTTATATTAATGTTGTTATCTTAATTCCATAATTCAAACTTTTTTAGTGTTCATCTAAATGTTTAAAAAAAGGTGGAGTGCATGCACCTTTTGTTTTTAGGGGGTAAGGTCTCTGAGAACCTGACGGACGAGTTTTTGACTCCGAGTGAGTCCACGGAGGAATAACCCGCCGTCATATTTAATAACCAAGAAAGACTATTATATAAAAGGTAAATGTTATACTGATTAGGTATAATGATAAAAAATTGATAGAGGCCTAAGCAAGTAACTGAAAGTATGTTTGAATTTCAGAGTCAAATATCAGATTCATGTTTACAATTCCCAAAACCATGCAATAGGTCTATTTTTGATGCTAAAAAAGTACCCAAAGTTGAGTTGGTTTTCATATTACACAGGGAATTAGTTTTGTAAAAAATAATTTTAGTATGAACTAGAAAAAAAAGAAGTATATATAAAAAATATTTATTGTATTGTCAAGGCATAACATTTAAATTATATCAAACATGTAGGGCTACTTATTCTATGACTTAAAACTACAATAGCGGTACATTTTTTATAATTTAGGTAAGTATTACATAATTTTATAATACTCTATCATCATTTTTAATTTAAATTCGTTAAACTTACGTAGATGTTGCCAAAGACACTTCTGGAAATGGCACGATCTCACTTTGTAAGTATTAGCTATTTTAGTACGATTAATTTTATTTACAATTCTTATGTCATAATATTTGTTTCTTTTATCGATTGCAATATTTGGCCAATGCTTAGGATTTTTTAACAAACGCACCACACTGAAAAAGTTTATATTTTGTAATCTGCGGTAAGTTGAAAGCGACACAAATTCCAATAGTAAATGTACATCCCGGTGATTATTCAAAATAGCGGCTCAAACTAGTATCCTGGTTAATTTTTTACTTATTTTATGAATGTGCAGAATAGTATTGTCTACTAGCAATTCAAGTAATCTGCAAAAATACCGCCTTTTTCGCTATAGACACATTCGTTGAAACAAAAGAAAGCCACGTAGTGGAGAAGCGCTTCTCCAAAGTAACCGCTTTTGCGGCTGTCGATTTATTGAAATAACTGGCTCACATATTTAGCACTTTTAGGCACAATGAAAGTTTTATTTTACAATTGGATGATTAATAATGGATCGCATACGAGACAAATATACAAAAATAATAATAATAATAATAAACCGAAAATAAACACCTGCAACAAGCACATACTAAAATTCATAAGGTCTACTAATTTGTTCCGTAGGGAGAGCGTCAGCCGCGATATGATGAAGGCGCTGGTCCAAAACCAGCCGGATTTAATGAATAAAGTAGTAAACGTGGTTTTCAATAAGTTGTTTGTTTTTTAGTTGAAGCAGCGCATTCGTGTTTTTCTTCTAGATACCTTCTACTGGATCTTCTTGCATGATCAGATACACCACCATTTTTTTGTCAACTGGCTTCTGATTTCCAAGACACAAACTCAAAAGGATTTTTTATAAAAAATGTTAAACGGCTGCATGTCAAAAGTTCACTTTTTTACAGGAGAGCCGGTCAAAGTTTTCGACCTCATTTTTTAACATTTTAACAATAACGCATACACTTATAGCTCCGCCTAAGGAAACCCTGTATCGCGGGTCCCATGGACACATACATAGACAACCACAAATTAAACCCAAAGTTACGAGAGAAATAAATGTAGGCCGTACAGATATTTCTCCCGATCCGGGAATTGAACCCGAGACTTCTGCGTGACGGTCCAGCATGGTAAACTTTCGGCCCCGGAGGCAATTAAGCTGTAGCGCTATTTCCCTTTTTATAAGAACATTTACTTCTTAACATCTAAACAAGCAAGTTAACAAAAATATAACCAAAGTAAAGCTATAGCTACACTATACGTTACCAAGTCGATTCAGTGCGCCCTGTCTACGCTAAGCCTAAGACTTATAAAACGAACTTTGACTTCATCGGGGAGTTTGGTCGTCGGCTTAGAGGCTGTGATCCAGGCTCTGGATCTTACTTGGTGCAACAAATTTCGTTGGCCATTCAGCGCGGTAATGCTGCCAATGTTATGGGGATGTTTGAACCAGCTAAGATTCAGACCGGTCGTTTTTCAATGTAATATATGTATATATTTATATATATGTGAATAAAAATAGCCAAGTCTGGCGAATTGCATTATTAATTTTTATGTTACGAAGCCTGTTGACGATTTATATTCCTGACGAAGCCTACGTTGCAGATTGACATAATTATGTAATTAATTTAGTTTTTAAATGAATTGAATTGTTTTGTAAAAATAAAATAATGTGCATTATAGCTCATAAGGTCATTGTTACTAACACATATGGATGTGAATCTGAAATAAATGTATTATTATTATTATTATTATTATTATTATGAAACCAAAAACTTTGACTTCGACTAAGTTTTTCGAGAAAGTTTTCGCATTTACAAAACGAATTTTGTCTAAGTTTAAGTTTCAATGAAGTTCTTGCTTAAACTTGGCAAAGGTGGTTTCGTAAATACGAAAAACTTGCTTAGCTCGCCATTTTTGCTTAGTTCAATTCAAAATTTGTTTTGTAAATCTCAGCATAAGTGCAAAGGGCAAGTGTTCGAAATCCAACGACAGCCGGTGGTGAAACACGAAGATTGCCGAGAGATTTAAAAAAATAGTTTTACTGTACATTTTTGTATTTTGTAATCCAACATTTGAGTATCAAACACAAAATAATAAAAAGTTTGTTCAGGTTTACAGTTATTTTTACACCCGATCGATTCTCTGTAGGTATAAATTTTCACAACGAATAGAAAATGCAGTCTTTTAATAACATAAGAGCTGTTGTTATCTAAATTCTCTACTTTTGTATAGTTAGCGTATATGTAATATAGGGCCCGGTATCTAAGTTTAAGGCCCATATAGGGCGGATTTGTAGTAACGAGTTCGGGTCTCCTAATGCTAATTGTGATTGTCCCTGGTATTGCGTACGTCGGCATGAAAACCGGTTTCCCAGTCGGCCACGTAGTGCACTGTCCGTACTGACCCGTCCGGCTCCACTAGAGAATATTGACCTGATAACAGACATACATGTATGTAGATAAGTTATTGATATTTACAAAGCAATTACAACATAAGTGCTTAGTTTGGTGATATTGTAAGAAATTAATAATACATTTTCATTATTGTTCCGAAACAAACTTTGAATAAGTCCGTACCATATATATATTTGCGTGTCTATGGTCCGTACATCTTTCTGTGTGCATACATTTTTCGCTTTTTGATAGTAACTTTAACTATTACCTTTCCCCGTATGTTTTTAGTGGTTAAATACTGGCGATTTTTGTGCGAATTACCAGTCGTAATAAATGGTTTTTATATGCATATTTATTAACAGAATGAATATTACCGAATGTTTATTTATTCCATCATTTTGTAGAACCTGTGTAAGAATATCGGCTTTCTCTTTACGTATTATGCAGGGTGTAATCGTTAAGTGTGCTCAGGCGATTATTCCGTAAATATAAGTGCCATCAAAAACCTTTAAACTTATATCGAAAGTAGATACGTTACCTAATGAGTCATCAATAACTTTAAAAAATAAAAGTAGAGATATCAACAAATTAACGTTTAACGCTTCCATACATTTAATATGACATTCGTAGAGAGGCTTTATTCGACCTACTAACTTTAAGAGGTAACAATAAGTTTACAGACAACATTACTCTTTAGGTAACGTACTTAAGATATCAGTTTGAAAGTTTTTGATATTTCTTATATTTACGGAATAACCGCTTGGGCACACGTAACGATTACACCCTGTATATGTATATATTTAATTAAATTAAGAAAGTAGTAAGTAATTATTAAACAAAGATCGAAGACTTACAAAAAAATTAAGGTTTTCCGTAGCGCCATCTGTGAGAAATCTATGAAAGTTTTTCTTCACTCAGAGAAGTACCTTTACAGCTACCAGCCGCTGACAAGAGATGTCACTTTAATAAATTGTAATTAAGTTTTATTGAATTTCACCGCCATGACGTTCAATTTTAGCATAGATTTCTCACAGATGGCACTATGGCAAAACAGTCGTTAAAAACCAAAACAAAGATCTGCAACAAATACATGGAAGAGTTCGTGAGGTCCGATGGTCCGTTGGTCCGTTCCGTCGCTTAGTTGGCATAGCGTCTGCCACCATTTTACAAAAAAATAACTGAATATGGTGGTTAAACCTCCTGACATTCAATAAAACTTAATTACAAAGAAGTAAGTATTTGTACTGGCTGGAATTTGAAAAATGGAATAGATAGAGAAATGGATAAGGACGAGTTTAACTGTTCGAAGTTACCTAATAGTCTTGTATTTATTGTAGACCAAATGAAAAGTGTTTAGTGTCGCATTACGTAGCCGGAAGGTATATGGCGAAATGATTGATCTAATACTACGCATAAACGTCTGCGGTCAACATTTCAACTGCCCTAGAACAACCAGCGAGTCAAGCATTCATAAATGTGTATATTTCCGTTACATTTTTGCAACACATTGTTATGAAATCAGTTTCACAATTCATCATTACCTTTTTATAGTCATTTGTTTTAGCCATAGAGAATCCAACATTAGAGCCGAAACTCAGAAAATGATTCCGTTAACTAATTGCTTCGTTTCAAACAGAAAATCCGTTTTGTCGGAGCTAAATTGCCGCGAAGATTTACCGAAGTATAACATGTTTGATTAGGTAGTAGGTATTTTGATGTATCTGTTTTAATTCTATTAAATGTCTTGATGTATTCCAATGAGTCTGACATGTTAAATAATTATCAAAGCCCTTAAATAAATCAAGAGTAAAAAAAAAGAAACAATACTAATGAGACAACAAAACCGGAACGCAGTAATGCTCACATGAGTGCTTGGCTGTAGAAAATGGTAATATGTTGTACTTCCCTGGATGAACTCTTTCATAAGGAGCTCTACTGCAACTACACACATAGTATATATTTTTCAGAAATTATACTGACCTTTGACAACTTCCCCGTTGCGTTCTTCTTTCTGATGCTTAATGTCACCGGTGTGGGGGTCATTGACAGCGTATTCGTATGCGTATTTTGGATTGGCATCCTGAAATATCAATAGCAGATTTTATAATTGAGTACGACATAACAAACATAATTTTGGAATCATCTAGCGCACACGGCCCAGGTCTCTTTTTTCATATTTTTTAAAAGTAAACTGTTTGACAAAAAAACCAAGTAAGAGAAAGATGACCGTATAAGTGAAAGGTTATAGTCATAAATCGATTTTTCTCGTTTTTAGTTCCGAACCTTGAATTTGCAGACAGTTGAAAACAGATGGATAAAACCAATCCTCAAAACTCACATTTAAGACGAAGGATATAAGAATACCTTTTATCCCAACAATCGTGTAATTTCAGAATGAAGGAGCAAGGCACAATTGTAGAGCACTGTATATGGAGAACGATAAAAATAATTAAGTTTCAAATTTTGGATCCCTTGAAAGCGTATTGCTTTAACAATGATACTGTAATATCACAAAATGTCGTGAGAAATGTCAGGTAAAGTTCACCACGTTACAATTACTTAGAGATAACGCACTACGCAATTGTCTCGATGATCAACCTTTGTTAGGCTCGTGCCAATTTATACTAATAGGGTCAATTTTGCCTTATTCGGTATGTTTTGTTAGTACGTTACTTTGGTTAAAAATTTTAGAAATAAATGCAAAGAGCTAGAAATATGGGCACGACATACATACATACTAGTGTTGCAATTAATAGTATTTTGAAGCACTGGCCGAACACCGAATATTTCGGCCAAACTATTCGGCCTGATTAATACACTTACGAAAATTGGCACGAAAAATATCACTTTAGTCATAATAAATGTTTCGTATAATGAAACGACATAGGTTATTTAATTAATTAATAATAGTTTAATTTATGCCTAATGGAAAAAGTAATTATTTATTTCTCTTTGGCTTTTATTAACAAAAACGTAATTTTATATCGGTTTGCCAATAATATGTACTTGGTTGATTTTATTAGCGTTGATTTTGGTCATGAGGAAACTACATGTAAGTAGGTAATTTTTATTTAACATGTTTCATTTTTTGATCTCTTAGAAACTTAGTTACATTATATTTCCTTTGATCATTTAGATAAAGAAGCGAAGAATTGCTCTTTCGCGAACTTACACTGCACGTTCAGTATTAATAAAAGTTATATGATAATTTACTGTGCTTTTTCTTCCGTTTGTAGTTATTTGGTATTCAGCCGAATAGAATAAACAGGCCGAATAAGCTTAATACCGAATAGTAATCGAATATTCGTTACAACTCTAGCACATACTTTGATCGATATTACTGTGATGTAGTAATAAAAGGATCTAAAGCGTTTGAAAACATCAAATCCACTGTAATTTGTTATTGTTAGCGCGAGTACCAGTATCGCCCCTTGCAATACTAAATGAAGTAACTTAAAACAAGTTAAAAAGAATTATTTACATAACAATGTAGACCTTAACATTCTGCAGCAAACTATGAACTCGTAAATAACTTTTTCCGTCGCAATAGTAAGTTACGTACGTTCATGCTAAGATGGACGATGCCAAAAATAAGTTCGTCAATATGTGGTAATCGTACTCGGTGCTAAGATATAAGATATAATATAGGAAATGTTACTTGTTTTCGGATCTAAATCGCGTGTATTTGTTTTTTCAAATAAACTGATTGTTTGAAAATACAAATAAACATGATTTCGATTCGAAAAAATAGTTCATTTCGAATATGTAACTATAAAAAAAAATTTTTTTAAACGATATTATTTTAATAAGATTTTGAATCTTGATGGCTTTATTTTGGAGTTATTATAGCAGTCAAACACTTTATATAAAATATTTTATAAAAAAAAAATCTTGGGGCAGTATAGTAGTTTAATGTTTTAGCATAATTAATTTTGTATGTCGAACATCTAGCGATTTGAATAAATGCCTCTTTAATTACTTATTAGCGAATTCAACGGATTATTAAATAAGAGTGTGATTATATCCCAAATTTACATAAATGAAAGAACGCACCAAAAGTTATGTAAAGTAATGAATTTCGATTGTCTGTTTAACTTGTAACCCTACGCAAATTGAAATGAGCGAATTAAAACACTTATTGTTAAAGATGTGGAAATGAGTACATAAAACACTATAAAAAGATTATTTCTTTCGTAAAACATTGTTTCTTACTATACGCCTACCATTATAATTAAATCATCTGTAGTTTGAAAAATTATTTTTGTTGCAAAATATAGAATAAATTATACGAAATAAACACTTTTGACAAGTAAGACAGTTTGAATGTAAGCGAAGACTTTCAATGGTTGGTATAAAGTGCTTGAAATAATGATATTGGCGAGTAGCTTCAGATAACCTAGTAAAGGAAATCATAGACAAAAAGTATTTTGAAATAATATAATCAAAATTTTGTGGGTGAATTTACAAGGCTCCGGGTAGGTAGAGTTTATGCGGCTGATAATTCTTACATATACTAGTGACTAATGGAACAAGAATCCCTTATGTTGCACCGGTCAAATATTACTTTCATAACTAATCGCTGCGGGGGTATGTAGTAACTTTGAAATGTGTATCACGTATGCTGTAATATCCTGCAGTAGTAATAACAAAACATGCTGTTATTAATTAGTCAATTCATCCGTAGACATGGCGTTAGAAGAAACTACGCTATCAGGATAAATATTATTGAGTACATTGGATTGAAGAGGCGTAATTAATTGTATAATCAACGACTATGTCATGAAAAGAGTTGTGAAAAGATTAAACTTGGTCTTAAAGGTGCAATAGACTAAGGTTTAAATGTAGTGGAGGTACTTACATAGTTTTCTATGAACTCAGTGTGAACATTCTTGACTTTGACTGGTGCCACAGTGACGCGGGCAGGCGCTGCGACCAATGTAGGAGCGGACACTTGCTGCACCATTGGAGCCGAAGAATATTGTACTGATGATACTCCAGATTTGGCGTACTGCGCAACTACAGGTGCTGCGTGTTGTGCTACTGCAGAGTACTGAGTGAAAGCTGCTGGTGCTGCGTACTTTGTCACTAATGGAGACGTATACTGAGGTAAAGCTGGAGCAGTATACTGAGCCACTGCTGGTGCAACATACTGTTGAGCAGTAAGTTGTGTAGTATAACGTGTTATAGGCGCAGAGTATTGAGATGCCACTGGTGCGAGATACTGAACACTTGGGCTTGGCACTTGGGTGCCCGATGTTGCTGCGTGCTGAGTAACAACTTGTGCTCTGTACTGTGGAACCACTTGTGTGACGGGTGTCTGCACTTGAGCGTATTGTGTGATGGGCGCAGATACTGCTGTGTAACGCGCTGGTACAATTTGTTGTATGGGTTGCGCTCTCAAAGCTGGTGACGTCGCATATCTGGCTGCAGGTGCTGCTGCGAAAAGTTGAGTAACGACTGGTCCACCAGATTGCACATTGTATGAATTTAGGGATGCTTTAGCAAGAGATCCAGTAGAGACAGCTGCTTGTTGAGCCACTTGAGTAACGTATGTCGTTTTTGCAGGAGAAGTTGCAAATTTAGCAACTAATGGAGCAGCGGTAATTTTAGCAATGATTGGTGCTTGGGCGTATGTTGCTTGGGGAATCACTGTTCTGGTAGATCCTACTGATGACAAACCGGCTGTAGTAGCGTATCCGTGAAATTCTTTTTGTTGTTCTTGCGTGGCGTATGAGGACGCAGTAGCGTAGTTGCCATGAGAAATTATAGCCTGGTAAGTAGCTGCAGGCTGAGCAGCATACGTGGCCTTTGGCGCTACAGATTGATATGCAACCTTTGCAGCATATCCAGCATCTTTCGAGTACTGATAAGAGTGTGCAAGTAACGGTTGGGCTACATTTTGAGCATATTTGATTCCTGTGGTCGTTAACTGGAGCGCGGGAGCAGGATATGAGTAACCCCCATCTCCGCAGTCAAGTTTTTGTACTTGACTTATATGGTAATTCAAATCCGGGTCATGGTAAGCCAATGTGTGTATGATTAGTGTCACTGTTATGAGGGTTACCTGAAATCAGACACATATTATTGTACTTGTATATGAAGTATGCCCGAGTCTTACGTGTTCTGTTAGCATGACTTGTGAAAACAGGTATTCAAATGTGGTTCTTATTTCAACACAAAGTAACATTCTATGTATATAAATCAATCGATCACCTAGACTTACTGATTTCATTTTAAAATTAATAACTACTCGAAAATTTTACTAAAGTTTTTAAAACGTTACACATGTACTCGAAGTGTCTGTTAAAGTTAAGCGTAAGCCTAAATGAGAGCAAAGCGAGTCCGCAAACTCTTATATAGCGAGATCATATGTGTAAGAACGGGTCACAATTTTTACGTTCGCCGACTCAGTGGGCGCGGTTCGATGCGTGTGAGCAGACTCTAATGTACAGGACGCGTGTCGCTGAAGGCGGCATGGTTATTAATTTACGATACATTATTTTAATTTACTTTTGATTCAGAAAAAATAACATGTTGTGATTAATTAATGAAGTAGAGATTTACTGGATATTTTTTCGTTGCGACCGTTTCGACCGTACGTAATAAACAAGAGTACAAAATATGACTCACTAAAATTAAAATAAAACGATATGATAATTTTTAAACATCGATATGGGTATTATATGTATTGATATGGGTACTTATTTCATATGTTAGTAAAAAATAGCATGTTGAAATAATGAATGTAGTAGAGTTTAGCTGGATATTTTTCTTTCAGTTATATTTGAGTGTTTGAATAACAACAGTACAAAATACAAAAAAAAGACAAGTATTCTTAAACATTGATATGGGTATGACAGCACATATTTCATACATTAGAATTTACAACGGTTATAGATTTTCTTAAAAAGATTTTACTTAGTAAAGCTCAGAACGTTTTCCACGTTATAACTTTTCAATCTAACCTGTCGAAGTAAATAGCTTCGGGAAATTAAATCATTTAATTTAAGTGGTTGAAAAAGCTTATTAAAATTTTACACATTTGTCGGGATTATAATGTTTAGAATGTACAGTATGTATCGTATGGGTTTATACCTAATCGTATTTTACTAATTCTTATGAAAAATACATATTTACATACCGCACCTTGCGTACCGTTGTTTTGGTTTATTTTTAAATACAAGATACTTAATTTAGGATATTGATTTCGAATACACAAAAATCTTGGCAGAGTATTAATTATTATTGATAGTTGTACTTACGTGTAAAAGTGAAATACCATGTAACCGTAAAGAAAGGTGGATATTTCAAGACGGTAAGCCGATACATATAGAATGATTGCAATAATGAGACAATTTTTCATTCATACCTACTGAAAAATTAATTTCGTAGGTAAACCGATAGGAATTATATTATTAATACCTTGCGAGTAAGATAATGCTCTCAGAAGAAAGAAATGCACAAGCAGTAAAAATTTTGTTATTTAAAATTAAAACTTAATCGTAACATCAATTTGTAGTTGAATGACTTACGGACGAACTTATTTCCCGAACGCTATAACTTGAACCTTTTCAAGGCGAGAGTGAATAAGCACTATTTAGGTGTGCATGCTACATCGTCGCCCTCATCATCACTTTCCATCAGGTGAGATGGAGGTCAAATGCGCACTTATTTATTATAAAAAAATTAAAATATGATTATAAGTATTCATCATTAATTCCATTAAACATTTTATTATTTTTATCCTTAATAACCATAATGTTTATCGATAAATTCTAACATTACGCAGAAGTATAAGTTAAGTGTTTTCTAATTTGCTTGTAGGTACTGAAGGTTTAAAGTTAGGATGATCTCTAAGCACAAAAAACATATTAAAAAAAAATTGCGACTGTGTGAAGCTCAAAATATGAAAGAGGCTTCTAATACCTTGTGAAAATTAATCTGTTATTTCGACTACACAAAGGAGCGACTAATTGTTGAATTTTGCTACTAGAATCGGTTCTATCGGATTTAGTCGGCTAAATCACCAGGTTTTCTGGGTTCAATGAAATTTAAGTTAAATATTGTGGTGTTAGACAAATAAAAATTATGCCGCCAGAATGAGATGTGTGGCGAAGACGATATGTTAAATATACACAAGACAACAGCCGTGGTAAGCCTATGATTTGACCTACTGCCTTTCAAGCAGAAGCCGTGGGTGCGAATCCGGGCTCGCCTTTGAGTTTTATTTGAATTAACGTGCGAAATTTAGTTTGTAATTTACCATGAGCAGTGTGGCAGACTATGGCCTAAATCCTCGCCCGAAAGGAGACCCGTGATCAGCAGTGGGACGTATAAATGGGTTAATGAATAAAAAAAAAAAGATGTAATGTACACAGAAACTTTACTTTGTAATTTTAAAAACTTTGGTTTCGTCTTTTAACTTTAGGAAAAATCTGCATATAAAGGGCATAAGTCATTGACTTACAATTATATGGACGTCGGGTCCGCGCTAAAAAGTGTCCGAACTTATAGGGCGTTAAAATCGTATACAGAGCGTCATTCACGCTTTAGTCTTCGTTTGTTCGACTGACAGCGAAGCAAGCAAAATTAGACAGTACTGCGATGACATTACAATTTAAATTCAACGTTTTAGCTTTTTCATATTCCTTTACATGTCACTACGTTTAAATAGGTTGACTTGGGACATTTTTTTCGTGGTTTTTGTATTAGACCCGTCGTCCATTTATTTGTAAGTCAATGGCATAAGTAGCTTAAAGGTAACTTATAATCAGTGATCGGAATTGAGGGAATTAATTAAGCTAAACTAAAGAAAAACGTGGACGTTCCCTTCTACAATTCCTGGTACTTCTCTGAACTGGTTATATTTGAATACACGTATTATTTATTGAAATTTGAGTACATTGGCGACAAATTATTATTTCCTAAGTATTTGCTAAAAATTATTATTTCATAAAGTAACAATGTAGTTTTTTTCTATAGGTACTTATGTATTAAAATACTTTAGCCATTAAAAAATAAACTAGGTGTCTCTAGTATACCTATATTTTAGAATGTTTAAAAAATAAATAGTATAAAAAGAAATTTCATACGCATTGATGACGAAATGGGTTTGTCCATACTAAGAAAACGTTCATACTTTAGGTAGATTAACCCCCTCAATTCCGAGCACTGCTTAGTTATATTTATTATATGTATAAAAACATATACTTGACTTAGTTATAGTACAGGGTCGAGAGCACGTCAAGCTTGACACTTAAGATTTAAATCCAACTCTATGCCGCTAAGAAGAACGGTCCAAAGTACAGGTGTCAAGTCGAGTTCTTAGGTTTTCGCGATTGTTACCATAGGAAATGAAACTATTTTTCCGGATTTAAATCGGGCTCTTTACAGGTCCCATGGTTACGGTCAACCGTGACCATGGAACTTGTAAAGCGCCCGAAACGTCGGTTTATTTGAAAAAACAAATATAAGCGATTTAAATCCGGAAAAATAGTTTCATTTACAAGTGTCAAGCTTGACGTGCACTTGACTGTACAGCTAAAGGGTACAATTATAGCCAGTTGTGTCTTTTTATGAAGTAATTATTGCAACTGAACTATAAGGGTACAGTTTCGTACATAACCCTTTGAAATAAGTTTTTAATATTTGAAATTTAATACAATTTATTTTTTATTAATTTATGTTGATGTATTAAGCGACAAATTTTTATCGTAGACAATCTGATCATTGATATTATACCTTTTGAGCTTACCGTACATCCAACAATTATTGACATAGATTTCTACAAAAAATTTGGTAAGTACCTTTTTTCCTGATCACAAATATGTATATATCTCAGTTTTAGCAATAATGTTAGTTAGCCTTTTTCGTTCCGAAGACGGAATAAAAAAATTGCCAACTTTAGCGAAAACTTTAGACGACACAGAAGCGTCCTAAATTTTTATTTTAAACAGATTTCTAGCGGAATTTGTAAGATTTACATAAAAAGTCAAATTAATCGAACACGTTTGCGGTTGTCATCATCGTCATCATTATTCACAGCCGAAAGACTTCTGCAGTTTATCAAATTCGCGTCGATTCAATAGAATGTTCTGTGAATCACGCACCAGGGGCCTAACCGTCTAATATGAGACATCAGCCTGATGTTCACAGTGAAATGTCAAATCCAATATGTTTCGAAATTCATTTGCTGTGTTTCAATTTCTGAAGTCCATAATGGTTTTCGAAAATGTGTAGGATTTGTTATTTCAAGCTGGTCGTTAGAATGACTTTCAAATTAGACTAATAGGGGTGGCCGGACCGTCTACATTCAATTCAACTTTGCGAGCGAAATTTTTATTTCTAATTTATTTATTGAGCATTGACTACAGAGCTTAAAAATATTATAAAAAATCGTAAATAATGCAAATAATTAAGAAATCCAAAACGTTATATAGGTACTTATGCAAAAAAGTCGTTGAATACCAAAAACAACGATCTGCAACAGGCACATGGAAAAATTCATAACGTCTGCTGGTTCGTTCCGTGGCATAATTGGCAGAGCATCTGACACGAATTGCCTGAGGGAGCTGGTTCGAATCCAGCCGGATCGAATGATTTTTCTTAGTGTTTCGATCTTTGTTATAATGATTATAGCTTGTGGAGTAATTAAAACAAAATTGAATATCATGGTAGTAACAACATTCAATAAAAACTTAAAAATTATAATATACTTAAACTAAAAATTAATTGGTGTAAAACTGTAACTATAAAAGCCCGCCATTTTTTGTGTCTGCGAGGGTGATTAGTGTTTGTCATGTTTATTTTATGATATCAAGCGACGGATGAGTTGTGCGTCTGGTTGTAAGCGACACGCCTATATGAACTGTCTTGGGACAGTTGTACCACACTGAGGGGCACTGTCTAAGTCAAAGTCAAAGTCAATAAATAATTTATTCTACAGGTAACATTTTTACATTTGAAAACGTCATTAAGCTACCCCTCGTTCATTAGCTGACCTCGCTGAGAAGATCGAGCGAAACGCTGCTTGGCGTCAGAAATAGGTAAGATGGCAGTACTTTCCTGGACGAACTCTTACATAAGGTGCTGTACTGCTACCAAACGTTCTCCAGTTCGTTTAAATAAAGTTTAAATTCCTTATTTTAAGCTTCTACAACATGTACAACCTGTAAATGTAAAGATTAAGAGGGTATATAATTACACTTGCCAGACGAGCCTTGCCAATTTACTCCGTCGTCAG